TGATGTTATTTGAAACGTGTATCATTGATGTGTTTTGGACCTTCTATACATTTGAAGTGTTTCGGCGACTGTTTTCAGCCTAGTAACGTTTTGATAACCTCTGTAAGTTTTTGGTCAAATCCAAGTTTCAAGTCGATACTTTCTTTTGCCCGTCAGTATTATTTGTCCCGCATCCTTGAGATGTTCCCATTGTCCCATCTTCCCGAGGCAAGGGCGTTAACTGACTATAAAAGTCCAGTTTTTACGCTTACCAAACTAGGCTGGAATTCTGGAATTACATTTTAGCTGGACTAACGAGTCTATGCACAGTCCAATCAAAATCGCGTAACGAACTAGACATCCGGTTCGTTAACAACATGGATATCAACCTGCAGATTTCGGTCAACTGCAGGATTTGCAAAGCATGTGTACCTGGGTGTCGACAGATATTTTGCAAATCGTTTCATGTTTTAATCAAGGTGCTCAAGTGATTTGATGCATTTCGCGAGGTAAGATCCGTTTTATTACACTATAGATCTTGATTATTGATCATATCGTCTTGACTGGGCGTCGCCATTTTGTTTGAAGAAATTGCAAGTGATATGAGAAATGGAATCTGATTGGTCAGTAGGAGGGACATAGAAGGGACAAAACTCGTATTATTACCTACGTGGTGAAGATACAGGTGGATCACATGTATGTCACATGTGTGTCGTACAAGGATGACCTCGTTTTATTCCATTTTGGTTCGATAATCAGCATGGGGATTTGAATTTATTTTTAGAGTCAAGAAGGATATTGTGTAATATAAGATTTCAGAGACTATAAATGTTAGTCTAGGTATAGGTTCGTACAGTTACCATGAACGCCTTTGGCGAACTCTCTAATTTCCATCTTCCAAAATGGTACGAGCATGATATAAATTCAGCTGATAGGTCAAGGAAACCGAACCATTTTGATTGCACAGCCGGGACCCCGTCAATGCGAGTGATCGACTGTTAAACCGATATATTCAAAGTTCGGCGTAATGAGACTTTTCAAATTTTCTTACAGGTATCCTGCGTTCTAACAACATGGCGCTTGAATTACCATATGTTGAAGAAATTCTTCAAAAAGGATCTTGAGCGTCGGTGCTGTTTTTTTCGCAAACACAACAGCAGGTACATGTTGTTAATGCGTATGCATAGAAATGTCAACAATGCCCATATTTGGGCATATATCAATATTCATGCCCAACCAGATTTTGCAACCAGTTTCAGTTTGGTCTTTCAGCGAACGATTGGCTGGTTTGTTGTTTAACGCTGCACTCAGCAATATTCCAGCTATATGGCGACCGTCTGTGAATAATCGAATCTGGACCGGACAATCCAGTGATTGATATCATGAGCATCGATCCACGCAATTGGGATACGATGACAGGCATCAACAAAGTCAGCGAGCCTTACCACCCGATCCCGTTAGTCGCCTCTTACCACAAGCATAGTCGCCTTTTACGGCAAGCATGGGTTGCTGAAGTCCTATTCTACCCCGGATGTTCACGGGTCTAATTACTCGTTGAGTAGGTCATAGGTTTTATTGAAATCAACAAGCATCCAAAGGGTGAGTGAGTGAGTGAGTTGGGTTTAACGCCGCTTTTAACAGTATTCCAGTTATATCACGGCGTGTCAGCTTAATGTGGGAGGAAAGCCCGAAATGATGCAGGTCTCAGACGTTTACCACTTCGGTGAAACCCACGAGCAAGCGTATGGTGCTGACAAACCTAGAAACATAATCAGGGCGAACCGGGATTTGAACCAACAATCACAGGTTTCTGGCGTGCCCAAGGGACGCAACTCTGCACAGCGAATCGCGGCGCCTTAGACAACTGGGCCGTCCGTGCCCCCAGCTTCCGAAGATCAATACTCGAGTGAATCTGCCAGTATAGAATCAGTCATCAGCAATCCTGGCACGTTTAAGGGACGCAACTCTGCACAGCGTATTCGCTATGTTCAACTGTTGTCTGTATGAAGTTTCAGTATACTAAAAGAGCGATCGGGTAGCCTAGTGGTTAAAGCGTTAGCCCGAGGACCCGGGTTCGATTCCCGACAGGGGTACAATGTGTGAAGCCCATTTCTGGTGTCCCCCGCCGTGATATTGCTGGAATATTGCTAAAAGAAGCGTAAAACCAAACTCACTCACTCAGTATATAAACCTATAGGAGAACAAAAATGCCTGCCTTGCCGAGGATGTCGACGAGAACGGAATGTTTGTCATTACCATAGAACGCATTCCTACCAAACGAAAGCTAATACTGTAGACTTCTTCACTCGAAGATAGTATTCCATTGGAACAGAAAGGAAAATCTACGTCATTCATAAACTGTTTGTTTGGCAGATATTTCACTCCTATCTTTGACGTCTGGTCTGTACCGAGAGACAGCATGTCAGGCTACAGCAGTCTTGTTAACTGCATTGGTTATCTAAACAGATCTGACAGCTTCCGTTGTCTACTGTTCTGCACTTGAACTCACCCAAAAGCGCCTATTACAATAGTTCCGCTTCACAACAAATGCTTGACAGCAAAGCATTGGGCCCGTGGGTAGCCCCTTGTGAAGTGCGTTAGCCCTTCGTGATCTGGTTTGGTTCTCCGCATGGTAACTCGTTACCGATGACCTTCAATTTAAAATGGCGTCAATATTTCTAAAAGAGCGTTAAACACATTTGCTATATGTGTACGCCACGTATCCATGAGTGACATGGATACAGGGGGTCTAAGGACACACACTATTCGGTTTGCAGAGTTGCGTCCCTTGACCGTGTCAGGATTGCAGGTGACTGATTATACTCGCAGATTCTACTATATATATTATAAGCTGCTTCACTATAGGCTTCCTCTTGCCTTACGGTGAGTGTTATTAATCAGTACTGTTCAAAGTCGCGTAAGGGGTGGTCGGGTAGCCTAGTGGTTAAATCGTTCTCTCGTCACGCCGAAGATCCGGGTTCGATTCCCGACATGGGTACAAAGTGTGAAGCCCATTTCTGGTGTCCCCCGCCGTGATATTGCTGGAATATTGCTAAAAGCGGCGTAAAACCATACACACACACCCAAAGTCGCATAAAATCCATATGCACCACGCCCTCGATTATCCATTACATTAAGTTTCCATTCCATTTTCCCCATAAAAGAGTGGAGATATAATACACTGGATAATCGAGGTTGATGCAACCAGTAAATCATTCTTTCAAGATCACTCCCCATTTGGAGGTGATACGGCATAAAAAACTCGAGCGTAAATCTTCTCTAGTTCCTGAAAACATATCTAAGCTGCTGTAACAAATAACAGACACAGAAAATTTGTTTGCTCTACAAACCCAAATAAACCCTCACAGCAGTCTGAACCCGGACGCTGATGGCATCGCTCCTTTCACTTAATTGAATTCAGTTTAGGAGCGCAGCCACAGTATTGGGCGCACGTACATGCACTTAAGTGCGTGCGTTTATGGTAGTGATTTGTAATTTTAAAACACAATCATTTTGAGATTGTCCGCTGATAAAGCTGTCCGTGGTGGTAGGAGAAAATACCAGCAGAAGAGATAGGTGTACACTCAAGCGTTCAGCTTAATCCTGACATACACAGCAATCAGTTATACAACTACACTGTTGAGCTCGTGGTCCCGGGGAGTCGTCAACGTCTATGTTATAGACAACACGAATTGCAGACTGGGGTATGTGACGATGTTTGAACAAAACAGTAAAGTCACGGCTTTTCAAATATTTCCGGAGTTCAAAGTCCGGAGTTCTTACAAGATATATATTCATTGAGCGTTTTAGAGTGTGCACCGGGTCGCTATTTCAACCAGTTATGAACTTATTTTTCAGTAAAAATGACGTATTTTATCAATTCTGCGAAGGAAATTTTTTTAACTCGTCCGACCAAAATAAAATAAAATGCAGACACCACGCAACATTTTGTCCTTTGTTTTTTTTCTAATACATCTCGACAAAGCATGAGACGAATAGATATATATATACAGCGAACATTAATAGATAATAACACTGCCGATTACTTTTTTCATGTATAAAATGTCAATCTTATTAAAATCATATCTTAGTTTTCTCTAGCGATAAGATTGTAAAAAAGTCAATCTCTCATATACTTTTCGAAAATTCACTCACATCCTTCGTAATGTGACTCATGAAATGCGTGTTTTTCCATCAGGGAAAATGACTAACAAACAACTTCATTATATGTGTGTCAAAACCATTGTTAGTTATATTCTCTGTGACCTGCTTATAGCCCCGACTGCAGGCTACCTTCAATATGTATTAACGTAATGATAAGTGGCACATATTAGAATATAGACTAGAATGTATATACAAACACACACCGTATATCCTGGAAAGACGTACATGTAGTCTATTGTAACTTATGAGCATCTATAAATACTGGTGTTAGCAGTTAAATTCAACATTTACTTTAAAATTTGAATGACTAATTTTATACAATATCAACCACTAGTTCAGCGCAGTTAATGTTCGGGGCAAGGATATAAAGGAATGTATGGGGAATATACATAGTATTGATAATGCACACGTTGTAACAAATACCTATTTTTTAAATTTGTGAAGACAACATTCAGAGTATTATGCGCAATGTTCCATGTTAACAAAACTGCTATACCTATATGTAAGACAGTGTTCAACATTGATCAAGATGGTCGATTTTTTGCGAGATGAATAAATAATATCACACACGACACGACAAGCACGATATAACAGCTGGTGAACACTGTTTAAATATTGTAGGGAATTGAGTTATTACAAGTGTTCTTCAGAACAAAATGAAGTCATCATGAAAGTAAAAAATATGTCATTTTCAGAGTTGTTGGATTTGTCAAAATTTTATTTTTCTTCCACTGTTTTCCAGCATTTGGATATGATTGAAGACAAAGATGAAATAAATTCTCAAGTATTAAATTTCATGTTAAAATAAAGATCCCTATTGCCATGGGCTATCACCACCAGAGCCGTGACGTCACGAGGTGCGCGCGCCCGTTCGCCCAGCTTGTGGAGGCTATTTATATTCTGCAGTTCTCGTCTGCTTCCACTGAGCGACGCCGGATTCATCGAGTTTGCCACGGCGAGTAAGCAAGTTGAAGAGGAAACCCGCTTTATACAAGGTATAAGTCGTTATTGATAGAGTTCACATCCTTTGTTTCAGTTTCCATGTGTGGAGAAACGCAACCTGGCGCTGCGAACCTGCCAGAGCGACAGTCTCTCTTTATTTACCTGGTGCAGCAGTAATTCCCCCCTCTTCACACTGACTCAACATGCCTCCTCATTTCTAGATTTGATAATACTCTAAAATAATAATATTTTTATTTTCTTCAAGGTGAATATGACATCCATGTTAACAGTTTGTAAATGGGTTTTTAAATAAATATAATAAGTTCTGTTTGAAAATAAATTAATGTTCGGAAACACATTTTGAGATTTACTACCGTAAAGGTGGTGATTATTGACTCGCCGTAGTGCCATGTTGTCAAGGTTAGTATTAAATTATGTACCCATGCATCTCAATATTTTTGGACATTTTTTCGCTTTCAAAGATAAAGGTAAACACTCTTTTAATTTTGGTTGGTTTATAACCATTTGATGTTTTATGATGTGTATTGCAAGCATGAAAACTTGCACTCGGAGTAAAGGAGGAAAATAGACATTGGTTGGTTATCTTCAATTTATATGGGTTTTTACAGTTTGATTTAATTGTCTATTGAAACATTTGTCTCATTTACTATAAACTAATTTTTAATAAGTGAGACAATTTAGAAATAGATATATTTATATTTTTTTAATGATGGATCACCCTTATCTACTGATTGTTTGAATGAAACCTTTTGATAAAATTAAAAAATCAGTTATACATTTTATTTAAGATCATAATTATTGTCTGCGATTTACTACCGTAATGGTCGCCCTTATCTACTGATTGTTTGAATGAAACCTTTTGATAAAATTAAAAAATCAGTTTTACATTTTATTTAAGATCATAATTATTGTCTGCGATTTACTACCGTAAAGGTGGTGATTATTGACTCGCCGTAATGCCAGGTGGTCAATGTTGGTATTAAGTTAATTATTGTCCCATGAACACGCAGACACGCACATGAGTGTTGATACCAAGCATTCAAAACCCTGGGGACTGAAGAATGTTGAGAAAGGTGCAGTCTTACACTTCAGTACCACATGACTGAGAAAAAGCAGGGATGCAAACATGACTGTATGTGTTTGTGAAGGAAACGTTAGCCTAATGTTTGCTCTAATAACAGTAATAATCTAAGGATTGTTAACCCATTTAGAGAAATACCATGCATGGTGAAGCATGGCTGTTTGAAAGAGATGATAACATTGATAGCGGGGGTGATAGATGGTTTTTTTTATGTGTTCTGTCAGAGCAATGATTGGCTCACAAGAGCTGCTTTTTTTTGTCGCTATGGTCTGCCCAGGGAGAAGTCATTGTCCGAGGTCTGATCAAATGCTGACAACATACACTGCTTGTTTTGAAACATAATTCCAAACACATGAGTTTAGAAAAAGATTGGAAAGGATAGGTATAACAGTTTTTGCCTTAAATGAGACCTCAGTATAATTCTTACATGTCATGATCTGTGTATGTACATCTGAAACCAAAAGCCTCAACAGGGATAGCTCTACCTGCTAGCTCGGGCCAGTTTTGTTGAAAGGATACTAAGGGCTCATAGAATTTCAAACATATTGGGGGAGTATTGATGAATGTTATCACTTTGGGGCTAGTAGACTTTCTCAGTTAATTCCCATCCCTGCCTTCAGTGAAAGGACCAGTTCAACCCTTCAATGAACCAACAAGTAAAAGAGTTTAATGTTCAAATGTTTTCAGAGAATTAGTTTTAATATGTGTAGAGATAGCTTTCAAGACCAGTGCTTCTATAAAGGGTTCTGCCCTCCCAGACAAGTTTTAAGTCAAAGAGTCCACATGGTCAATGAAGAAAATTTGTATTTGATAGTCATTTTTCAGCGCAGTTTGGTTGAGTAGCCCAGTGGTTAATGTTTGCTTGTCTCGCCGAACCCTGGGTTTGATTCCCCTAAGTGAGTGCAGTGTGTTAGTTTTTAAAAAAACCCTGGCTAGAATATTGCGATGAATGGCATAAAACAATACTCACTCACTCACAGACCATGAGCATACACCTATCCTTTTCATGAATGTGGAAGCAGAAATGTAATTGCTGACTTAATGTCAACCAGTTTATGATTTAATAAACAAAATAGAATATTTGAAAAAGGTTCATTATGAATCAGAAATGTTTCAAGAAGACTAGAAAGAGTTTGTAAGTTATATGGTTCCCACTAAGATCATCAAGATTAGCAAGTTCTTTTGGAGAAATGTACTTTGTATATTGTGTGTAGATATTCCTAATTGTATTTGTTTTGAATACAGGGTTTCCATAATAACAGGAGGGCCAGACTCACAGGGCTTCCATACTAACAGGGTTTTCATAATAACAGGGTATCCAGACTGGCAGGGTTTCAATACTGACAGGGTTTCCATAATAGCAGGGTATCCAGACTGACAGGGTTTCCATTCTGTTAGGGTTTCCAGACCATCAGGGTTTCCATTATAACATGGTTTCCATTATAACAGGGTGTCCATACTGACAAAATGTCTTTAATAATAGAGTTTCCAGACTGACAGGGTTTCCATAAGAACAGGCTTACCATACTGACAGGGTATCCATACTTATAGGGTTTCCAGACTGATAGGGTTTCCAGACTGATAGGGTTTCCAGACTGATAGGGTTTCCATACTGACAGGGTTTCCATACTGACAGGGTTTTATACTGACAGGGTTTCAATACTGATTGGGTTTCCATAATAACAGGGTTGACATACTGACAGGGTTTCCATGATAACAGGGTATCCAGACTGACAGGGTTTCCATAATAACAGGCTTACCATACTGACAGGGTTTCCATAATAACAGGGTTTCCATACTGACAGGGTTTCCATGATAACAGGGTGTCCATACTGACAGGGTTTACATACTGATAGAGTTTCCAGACTAACAGGGTTTCCATAATAACAGTGTATCCAGACTTTCAGGGTATCCAGACTTTCAGGGTTTCCATACTGACAGGCTTTCCATACTGACAGGGTTTCCAGACCGAGGGGTTTCCATGATAACAGGGTTCCATACTTACAGGCTTACCATACTAACAGGGTTGACATACTAACAGGGTTTCCAGACTGATAGGGTTTCAATACTAACAGGCTTACCATACTAACAGGGTTTCCAGACTGATAGGGTTTCCGTAATAACAGGGTTTCCAGACTACCTGGGCTTCCAGACTGACAGGGTTTCCATAATAAACAGGGTGTCCAGACTGACAGGGTTTCCATGCTGATGGGGTTTCCATACTGACAGGGTTTCCATAATAACAGGCTTACCATATTGACAGGGTTTCCATAATAACAGGCTTACCATACTGACAGGGTTTCCATACCGACAAGGTTTGCAGTCCTACAGGGTTTCCATTATGGCAGTTGGAGATGTTTCTGCTTCTACTTGTTTTATGTTATGTAGACCTTTTTATTCTAGAATTGTAGAGCATGGTGGGAGAGCTTGATAGTCTTTTAATTGTTATCAGTTAATGACATGCCAGAGATGTAGTAATCTCAGGTTTAACATCAGAGTCACCAGACCGACATGTAGACAAATCTTCCAGGGTTTCCCTTTCCTCTAAAACTGGAGGGTCATTGTGACATCTTGCCAACAGGAAAACATGGGAGGCTTGTGAGCTTAGAACATGAGTAATAGTTCATGTTCTTCACTTTCAGTCAAAATGTTTCATTTTATGTGGGGGAAAAACTGGACATGTTGAAAGCATTATTGAACATATTCAAGTCCAGCTTACAGGTTTTATGGTTGCCATTCGTTAATAATACATATCTGGGATATACACATAATAACACCCTAGCATTGTCATTCGTAATCATGGGTGGAAACAATGCTGTGTGATAACTGTTGAAGAATTTGCAGCTAAAGTTTTTGAGCATGTTAAATGGACATTAGATTAACATTAAATCTAAAAATATGCTCAGTCAAGAGACAATTGATTTAATTTGCTACTTATGTTGAAGTTCAACCCAAACAATGAACATTCTTGACTTGCATGCCCTCAGCCCACCAAGTACAGTGTTGTTTGATCTTATTTAACATTCTACAGAAACAAGTCTCGAGCTACATAAACGAAACATATATAACTGTGTATTTGTCGCTGACATCAGATTGATTTTTCCATCTGTTATTTATTCCCCCCAAGATTTTAATATCTATCCTTGTAAAACTAAGAAATTAAACATGGTAAGTTAAATACTGTACAGCTTGTTTACTTTAGGTGATATTGTTTGATATTGGTTTTGAATTCCTAATCAATCATTATTTTGTTAAAAAAGAAGTATTTATTCTGAGGTCAACTGAACCTTAGAGGGCCTGTTCTTATTTGAAGCCAGTGACATAACCTGTACTCCATGGCACCTTATTATATGTAGTATTTATTGACTTCGTAATTAATGCTTCCATAATCCCCATGATCATTTCTGTTCAACATAGAAGATCAATTTTTGTTTTTGTCCAGGGTATTCATTTTACAGATTTGTGTGATCATTAAGTCAAAAGACCAGGGAAAGTACAGACCTAAAATAAGAATATCATTTGGGTTTATTTGAGGCCAATTTCCAAACGGAGAGCCATTAATGGAAATTAATCCACATTTTGTTTCAAAATGCTTTAACAATTTGACTCTCAGGCCACACATGTTTATGTTTTTTAATGTTTCACGGGCCCGCTGCACCTACTGAAAAGCAGCTAGTAAGAAATAAAATCGAACATACATATTTATTTTTATTATGTCTCCTGCTAATAATATGGGCCCTCTTATACAATATAAATTGTTATTTATATATATTCCATGACTACATCACTATGAGTGATTCAAGAAGCCACTGCAGTTTTCACTCCATGTCAGAATGACTTTCATATAAATAAATAAATGATTGACGTAGCTATTTATTTTTATTTTTATTTTTATTTCGGCCGACCTTGTTTTGAAAAGCTGGAATAAATCTGTGAAACATAAAATGAAAA